GGCGACCAAGGTTTACATTCCATTCGCCCGTATGCATTACCTCCACTGGTTGTGTTGCATGAGGCCAGCTGAACTGCTTGCTTTTCTAGGCCAGTCGACGACTTGCAATGGTCTGAAGGGAAACGAATCCAATTTCCGATCAGCCCGTTTCATAAAGCTACGCTGACGTACCCAAGGCGCACAATGGGTAATACATCGCGTGGTTCATGATGGGCGCTGTCCACTCGGTGTAAGCTTGAGGGAATGTGACAACGGAGAGAAAAGGCGAGAGCCCCTTGAAAGCGAATAGCTTGCGATCCATAACGTCAAATCACACTCGGACACCTGAACGCTAAGCTTTTTCGCATATCAGTAATGATCAGCTGCTTGCGAGTGCACCGAAAAGGTGAACTGAAATTCAGATCAGTATTCATGTTGGTAAACAACTGATACACATAATTTGATGAAATTAACGATCCAGTCTGCAAAAGTTGAGGTAAGCCCAAGCATCATTAAAGTTCCTTTGGGTAGACGGTAAAAAGCAACCAACCGTCTGAGTCGTAGACAGCAATGTCCTAATCCACTGAAGATACTTCTCCATGACGAACCGCACCCAACCACATGTAGGTGAACTTGGCGGTACGCCGGCGAACTATTTGCAAACTATTTTGGTTTTGCGAGAGACTCATCTAGAACCCAGCTGAAGCTCTCGTTTGTGATGCTTCCAGGCAACTGAATGTACTGCACCAGGCCTCCTCATGTTTCAGTCGCTACGATATTCAAGATATCGCGATACATATACATTCGTAATGCACCACTCATAAGGTTGCTGAAAATCTGTTGATAGTCCACGACCGGTTTCGCCCTTCTTGGGGCTCATCAGGTAGGCACAGTCCCCGATTTTCCGTCAACCGTACGTTCTACTTGAAACCGTACTTGGCCGTACGCTGTAGATAGAGTTATACAGTCCCTTGAAGAGGACTGTGGTCGATCAGTCAATGAAGATCCGTATATTGTGTTTGAACTCGTTGACGGGGTGGACCGATAAGCTGTATGACGCAGATAAAAATGGAACAGGAATTGGTGGTTTATTTTAGGATTATGGTGCGGTCCATACCTGCTAAGGCTTCTTTGAGTTCAAATGGTGTTGCTACTTGTACCTTAGTATCTTCACCCTTCTATCTAAAAGGGTAATGGATTTAAACCAGCAAACTTTGTATGAATGGTTCCCATACGATGGTAGTCAGAGTAATCTTTGGAACCGGATATACGGCCCCTGTACAGTTATTACAATTCTAAAGAGGAACCTCCGGGCGCAGGACATTTCTCTTATTAAACCCTAGACGAAAAATTAAGTTATTTGTTCAACAGCCTCACTGTATAGGATTGATAAAGTACCGCTAAATTTAACCCGAAAAGAGGCCCTAGGAGGTGAATTCATCATCCTCAAAACCGGAAAAAAGCAGTACTCGTAACCGACACTCGATGTGAGGCCCCACCGAAAAGAACTGGTCAGACACGCATTTTTTGTTTTTCCTGGAGGAAGGGCACTGCATTTGGGGACCACGACCAAGAAAGCAGAATCACTGGAAAAGTCGGAAAAGATAGATTCATAACAACACACGTACGGACAGGTTCAATGTTTTGTACAACAGCACAGAGTTTAGCCTGTTCCGATTCAATAAATGTTTCAAATAGAGCGATACAGACAATTCTCAAATGACGTCTATCACCCAAAAACGGTTGACAGATAGAGAAAAGTAGGACGGTAATGAAGATGAAGGCTCTTGCAGATGGGAAATGAGTCAGCAGGGCAAGGACATATTCTAGGTCCAGATAATCGCAGGAGCAACATTTTCCACCGCTGCTCTGATTTGTTTAACCATTGCTTTAGCTCTATCCGGATCTGTTATGGAGAGCGGCAGTTGGTCCCGATGTACTCGACAATCACTGAAACATTTCAGTCGGTTTGCAGGAATCGCATTGAAAACCTAGACAGGAAATGGAATTTGTGTGCGTCTGACTCTGACGAAGCGCCATTTCAAAGAACAACTGACAAAAATAATTGCATAAACATGGTTGCATGGGGCTTCAGTTCACTGCTAAACTATAGTTGTGGACATTATTGGATAAGTAATCTCAGTGCCAGAGTTTCGAAAAAAACGGGTCAATTTCACACAGGGCTGGTGATCGTATTTGGAAGGATACAGCATCAACCACAAGTCTTGATTCATCTTTTGCAGACTGATTACGAAATGTCCGATAAGTTGGGCTAATTGTGAAGGGTCTTTGTCAAAACGCAATCAAGTGATAACATGGGAGTCGCTGAGAAGGCTGATTGACAGTGGTACTGGGACCAGAATCATGTATGTGTGTGCGTATGTCAGCATGCATCCACCCTTCTAGGCTAGGCTAACCTGAATTATCTATATGCGGATGGTCACGACAGAACTGTAGTTTTCGATGCACTGCCCCGGTTGTGGAAAGCGTCGGTCACAAGGAGACACCATCTTTGTGAACGTTTGTGATGCCGCATTGGCGTACCATACTCATTGAATCCTTCAGAATAAAATTCGCAACAAAGCTAGAATAATTCAAGTTTGTTGTAAGCTGTTACATATTTGTCTCTCAGAAGCACATTCTATCATATCATTTGTGTCCGTCATTTGTAACAGTTATTCTCTGAGATAGTTACTATTGCATGCGTCATACACAGCATAAGAACACCGGTGTTTCTGTCAGCTGACTGCGAAAATGGGGATGCCACACGAATAACCCCGTACATCGTACCTGTTCGAATATCTCTGCATTTTTATCGGCTGTCGCCTTCCAAATCGTGTTGAAAAATTCGTCACACACAGGGTCATCCAGCAGTTCATCTGGCCATTCGCCCTGAAAGCCGCGTTGTAGCGTAGGCAAGACGCCCAAATGTTCGGCCATCAGACTGCGTCGTACACGACGGATAAAAGGACAGACTTCCACGGGGGAATGCTGGCCAGCTGGATTCTTCTCAATAAGTACTGCCAGTTCGCTATCTCGTTTGCCACGCAAACTGCGATCGTTGATGTTTGCAGAACCGATGATCATTTTGCAGTCATCAACCACCATGAATTTGCTGTGAATGTAAATGATCTCCGATTTCTAAAAAAAAGTATTATGAGCTTTGGTTGAAAATATTGCATCTGCTAGCAGTTCGGTAATATTGACACTAGATGAAGTAGGGTCGAAGAAGGACGATATAGAGTGCAAAGCAAAAAGAATGTTTCTGAAGGTGAGCTAGACACGATCTGTTGAATACCGTTTAAGTGAAACTAAATCAGTAGGAAGCAAAGGACAACATATGTCATAGTAAAAGTTTCTTATTGGTGGAGCAGTTTGGAACTCAGACAGGCGGCAACTTACTCATTTTTACATTTTTGGTTTACAGGGATAGCTGTGTCACCGGTGGTGATATTGAGTGGACTGTCATGTGAACCGCCTGTGATTCCCTTAGAACTGACAAAAGATATGCTCTGGGGTATGACAACATATAATTACTCACTTCACCTGTGGACGTAAAACATGTGAGTTACATAACTGAAGAACAGAGTGGAAAGAGTAAAAGAACTATTTACATATCGCAGCACATTTTTTGTTGACAGTTTTAAAGAGGCGAATAAAGGAAAGAAAATGTCACAAGTTTCTCACAAGAGGACTTCCTACTTCAGCCACGCGATCTAGTAACTGATTACGACTTGCTGATATTGCGTAGAATGACTATCTATTGAATAGTTGATGGGCGCACATCCACTACCGGAGCTCTGCTTCGCTCCCCAACAATGCACCGATGATATCCCCGTTTAGTGAAGAAACGTCTGCAACAAAGCTGCCAAGCTCGGCGAGAAATCCGATCACCAGATAATAACTTTTTATATCGGAGCAGTCAAATTTCTATGAGTGATTAATCAGTTCACAAGGAGCAGAACTGAAAACTGAACGACTAAAAGTGGCTCTGCCAGACCATTGAGCTAACGGGGTTCAAACGCCGGCACATGACCTGTCTACGTTGCTTGTCGAAGCCAGTGTACAAGACCATTCCACAAGAAGGCTGGGTGCCAATAGAAGCTTACAATTGTTTCGCTCCTGCTCAAGCATACGGATCAAGTGCCTCGAGTAGAACACGGCACTAACCTCCTAATTACATCATATGTATATAGCAAGGGTTGCACCAGAAGCTGTTTTTTCCGACTGCTAAGTTCCCTCAAGATGCATCAACCTCATTAATTCATTTCTACTTACTTGGAGACTGTGCCAAGGAAGCTGCTTTCGTTGCACATTCGCGTCTCCGGTGCAAGTGTTGATATCTGAGCAGCTTGTCTCAGCTTTCAGTAAAATCTTTGATCGTATTAGAACTGCAGTTTGTTGGGACATAAGAAGACAGAATCAACAGGTAACATCACCAACACATCTCCGAAATGCTTCCACAGACGTTGTGGATATTTACTTATTTATTTATTTATTTATTTATTCATTCATTTATTTTTTAACTGAAATGTGCTGCATACAGGTCGTCTCTTGTTTCAGTTGGCATGACATTCGAGATATCGCAGTATGTTTTCATAAAGGAAATTACTCATGAGGTTTCTGAAAACTCTTCGACTGCTCACGACCGGTTACGTTCATCTTGGGGCTCATCAGGTAGGCGCTTTCTCGTTATGTTCTATAGTGAATTTAGGTGAGTTTTCAGCAACCTCGTGAGTAGTTTCCTTTATGAAAAAATGGCGAAACCGATTGTCGGCTGTCGGAGAGCTTTCAGCAGCCTTATGAGTAGTATATTACATCCATACAAAGTGACAGCTAGTTTGTTAGCAGGTCTCGAATCCTCTTTGAAAACACAAAGCGTAAATCAATGAAAGATAAGCCAAAATTTAAAGAATGAACAGCCTTCTCTATTGCCCTTTGTTGATCATACAATCTTAATTTGTGTGCACAAATCTCCTGGATGAGTCTTAGAAGTTTTGGGTGAGTACGGACTCAATCTGTTACCAATATATGGCCGAAAGCGGAAACCAAAACGCGAGATGTGACTCACCAACTCTCCTCCGGGCCACTCGTCATACGTACGCAACCCACAAATAGAAACGTAGTTATCCGGATCTATCTCACTTTTACGCAGTCTGGGTAGAAGTGCAGTATCACCCACAAAGAGACTGAGTCGAAGGTAGTAGAGAATTTTGTGTTGGCTGTACGATTTTGGATCACCGTAGGTTCCGGTAAAACCTGGGATCAGCGGGAGCAGAATGAAGACCCGGAAGGGCGTGTTTTCTCTGCGAGAGGTGCCGAATTGGTAGACAGATAATAGAAATAAGAAAGACTGCGTTCACGTAGACAGCTCAGAGGGGCGAAATCGAGGGAGTGGCCAATTAGTCCGTAGACAGCTCAGAGGGGCGAAATCGAGGCCGAGGGAGTGGCCAATTAGTTGCTGAATGGCATGCAAATCTAATGCAAAACTCACTCAAGGTAATTCTGGAAGTTACGCTGTTATTGCTATTCAGGTACACTGACCTAGCAGCTTCGAACATCCTGAGGTCTTGATCTGACAAAGATGTATCATCGACTGAGGTAATTAACCAATTAATCCTTGAAACAGAGCTGAAATGATTTTAACTTCATTTGGAAACATCTTCAGCCCCTTTATTCTGAGCAGTTGAAAGAACCCTTGCTATGCCTTTTGCCCCCAGATGAATGCAAAGACAATTTTCCCGGTTTTTCGACGAATTTGGTGACGATATTATGAGGCTTTTCCTTTTTCAATGGTTTCGTGTTTTTTGAAATTCGCATCCGCACCCTCAATACTTTTGTTTAGACGACTCCCTTCTTATTCCAGTGTGATTATTATCGATGCTTTACAATTTACTGTGAATACCAATCACATTGTTGTAAAAAAAACGATAAATAAATTGGTAATGCATTCAAGCCAGCTGCGATAAAATTAAACATTGCAAAGGTGGGGCTTCAGGCGAATGTGCTGCCAGTCCCTTGACAACCTACCATTTCTGATCGATGAGTAGCCTTCATCGGGGAATTTAAAACTGTATCAGAAGAGCCTCCATGAAGCTTTGGGTGAACCTTGTGTTGTGTGTGAGGCTTCAACTAACAACACCGAACGATAGGGAAAAACTCAGAATTTATCCACTAGTGGGCTTCTGACAGTGCATATGTCAGCCCCTCACAGGAGGCTGTCACGACAAATGAGTCCATCCGGCTTGACTTCAGATCTATTGTTCACTAGATCTTGGAAGTTGAGGGATGCTGTTGTGGAGTCTCCATAAAACAGGCGTGTTTTGGGTGGCTTTCTAGTAGGAGGTTGATGTAAATTGGTTCTTCTCGATTACTCTTTCGAAAAGTAACCTAGTATAGACAGTTGTGAAGTAGACAAACTGTTTTCCGTTCATGTTACCAATGGATAACTCAAAAGTCAGAATGCAAAAAAACAGAAATGCTAGGAGCTCACCGATGTGCCCTTAATATTCGAAGATACAACGCATCGACCAAGCGATTCTTCACGGTTGTCTCACATCCGGGAGGCAGGAGGTGATATGGATCATAGTCTCCGATGGATACCACACTTTGAGTTGAATGAGGCCGTGATATGCTTCCGTCCAAGATATCTTCCGGTATCGTAAGGAAACTGATAAAAAACTGGTTTTCAATGTATATAAACCGTTTCGCTTCTAGAATGCATTCCACGTAGGCGGAGATTATGGAGGATTCCAAACCAATTTCAGTGACCCTGGTTGCATGAGAGGACTCTGAGCCCGTACTGGGTGCACCTTTGATAAACTGCCGAAACTCATTTCGAGTGCCTCTTCGCGTGTTTCCAGCTGGAACACCGAGTGACCAATTACTGCAGCTACGTAATGCTTGGGCTTGGACCACCGAGGACTGCCGGGGATCAAGTAGGACTGTCTTCAGCTCACTTTCTGTCCATGGTACACAGCGGTAGGTTGGCAGAAGCAGTGGTTTGCGACGGCGCTTAGCTCGTTCAGCAGTACCTTTAGTGGTGGTTTTGATACGGCTAGTCTGGTAGAAAGAGTGGACCACATGAGGGTAAATGACAAACACAGTGAAGGAACCGAACACTCAATGAAATGTCTGAGTGTTTCGAATAAAACCTGTTCACAGAGTATCGGCTGAGAGCAAGCCAGCCACATCATCATTGTTGTTCTCGGGTTGTGATTGGTAAAGGAAAACCATGATACGAAATATTACTCGCTTCAAGTTAACTGGTGAGTATAAGTCAAATTTAATTTGTCTGCACTCTTAGCTACACGCGTGCACACATCTGCAAGGTAAAACAGAATCCCTAGAGAACGGATTTAGGCTCGAGAAAACTGAAGAACAAGTCACAAATGTTTTCAGAGCCACCAGTTGCGAGTAAGAAGGCTTAAGAAGATCAGGTAGTCACCTGACAATCACCGATTCGTGAATTGCACTTAGGTAGCCGAAGCGACCGACAGATAGATGAGGAATACAGTCAAACATACTCGATATAACGCAACTACTAAGCAGCAGTACAAAATCATATAGAAGAAAATGTCTAAAGTGCTTGAAGGAGGAAATTCAAAGCAGCAGCATCCTGGGGATCCGCGAGAATTGCTGCTTTAGATATGTGGTTAATACGAAGCAGACTATTGCAAAGGGAGTAAATCCATACAGGTGGGCCCGCGATAAGAATGGCAATTTGACATTTTTTTATCAGCCCCAGTCTAATACTGGAACTGATAGTGAGTAAAAATGCTGGTGAATCAGTAGTACAAATTTAGATTACATGCTTGCTCTCAGCGTGCGCAAAACTGTTTATCAGTGTACGGAATCCAGGGAAAGTAATCGTACTGTTTCCGTCCTGCATGCCCAATCGCCATTCAGGTATTCTTGGTGGGTCGAGAACAACCGTGTGACTTCGCTGACCTCATTCCTACTTGATAAAATCAAGTTAAATGTGTTAGACAGCAGCAACACTAATCAGCAGCATGAATCGTACGTCGACCGCTATGAAGCAGACATTGTACTATGCGGTCATTATATTCGATGCCATGCTGTAGTCATTCACCATTCAGTTTCTTACGTTTGTCGTTGTAAAATGAAGTCAGACATATACGTTAACATATTTCTGCATATATATATATATATATATATAT